CCCTGTTGTGTACATCGTTGTGCATAAATTATGTGATTATGTCGAATAAATATCACTCTGAGCTTATTTTGATTTGGGTCGACCCGATTTCGAATTGGGTCAGATTGCGATTCGGGTCAGAACAATAACAAGAAGCAAAAACATTTGACAACTTGATTTTATTAAATTTGTTCTACTAATATTGCTATGTACGGATTATAACGGATTCGGCCATTTTAGTACGGATTTACTACAAATTATAACGAATTCGACCAAATCAAGTCACCATAATAATTCAGGATAAACATCAGCGAACGCATCATTATTCGTGATACTAAACCGTTTCTCTCAAGTATTGACATTTAATTAAGACTCTGCGAACCTTTCATAAAATCTCCAATAAACAAATTCGCACCACAATAAATTTTGTAAGCTATATCATAAACATACATTTTATTAGTTATTCTCGTGATTAAAACTCAATCTGCGATAGTTCTCTCCTCGAAAACTTCACACGGCGTAATAAATCCATTTCTCCTTCAAAAGGTCTTTCCTTCCGCTTTGCTATAATGTCACTTGCAGTTTGTGGTCCTACTCCACGAATAAGACACAGTTCCCATTTATAAGCCGAGTTAATATTAACCTTTTCATTTGCTAATAAAGTATACATGTTAGATGGGAAATTTAGAATGGTTGAAATATGATATAATTGACAATACACAATGATATATCTACCAGCAGCGAATTGTGCACGATTTGCATACACTGGTCCGTAGAATTTAGCAAAATTGTCTTCGCAAACAAGAGCAACATTCGATGGTAAATCATCGGGCAAAACACATCGTAACGCCTCTGATAATGGTGTATTGCACAAAAGAATCAAACGATATTGTTGTAATGAAAGATGAAGATGGTTTTGGAGTTTTTCCATTACTTTTTTTGCTTCATTAGATACTGTTTCTCGATTAATTACTTGTGGTTTCATTGTTTCATATTGACCCCATTTCATTTGAAGGCAGACCGTAACAAGCTTTGTTTGGTTAAAATCTTTATAGTGAGTGAATCCGTCCATCATCCCTCCTTGTCCATTCTTGACAATCATATTGCTCGTGAATTCTCTGTACATATGCTCACTATTCACATCATGATATTTCTGATGTTCAGGAAATCGTTCTTTGATGTATATGACCTTTATATTATCTAAATCTGATGGTATCTCCATTGTATTCTCTTTAATATCGGCTCCGCAATAAGCTCCACGGAGAAATTCATCCATTCCAATTTGTTGATGACCAATGACATGATATAGATGGAGTCTAAATGCCCAAAAGCGGAGGTTTAAGTCCTCCCAGTCTTGCCATACGAAATTTTTTTCTTGAACTATGAGCGTTTCCCAGAATTTTGCCCAATCAGCTCCCAGTTCGCGTGCACTCATTACTATGCACCACACCCAAATATACGGTATTCTTATGCATAATGATGCTTGCTTGTCCTCATGTTGAAATACCAACATTCCCATGCTACTCAAGTCTGTGTAAGTTAATTGTGACCTTTCTGAAATTCTTTTTGATGGAGAAACATTTAAGCCAAGTATCGCATATGCAACTGGTTGAGCCATATTACATGCCACATTTCTGAAGTCATATCTATCCATCAGCTTTTCCTTTACGAATTGCATTACCTCAAAAAGGTTAATTGATTCAGAACTTTTTGCAGAAACACATTTCTCTAAAAAGAATTCTAAAGTACGAACATGTCCCCCGATATCTGATAGACATCGACGAAATGAGGCTGTGGTTGTAACATAATGTTTGTCTAAACCAGAATTTTCTTGGGCTATTTTAATTGTATCAGCATTGCTAAGCAAGTCTAATGGAAGTACCAAAGCAGGTTTTGTAATTATCTGAGATAGAGGTTGCTCAAGTGTCCCTGCAAGGATAGGGATAAAGAATATATTTTCGACAGCTTTTCCACAACTCAATCGGCCTACTGCATTTACGACTGTACGGAATGTCACTTGTGTTAGTGGAGTGTCTATATCAATCAACTTGTTCATTTCATCTATGCACAATAAAAATGCTGATGTGTTGCCACTTTGTTGCTGCTGGCCATACTTATCCATAGTAATAGTCTTCAAAACTGTTCCTAACATTAAACCTCCTTTTCGTAAACCCAATTTTATACATTGGTTTACAAAATTTTCGTACTGCATATTTGAATTTCCTTCCACAAAATAACGATGCAGAATCCGTGTACAAAGTGCGATTTCCCCTCCAAGCATAACATCACTATCGGATGCTGCCGATCCATTACCAAAAGTTATTACCACTGCTATCATATTTGCAAAAATCTCTCGCACCTGATCATCTGCATCATTGAGTGCCCTCTCCTGAACGAGATTCTTCAGTTCCTCAAGCAGTCTAGTTTTTCCTGTCCCAGGACCTCCAGCAACAAAAGGTATAGGATGCATATTTCTATCGGAAAAGCCTCTCAAACAATTAAAACACCGCTCTCGTATACCATTATTACCAATCGCGTCTCCATGCCAAAGAACATTTAGTGTGTTTTCACGACCGAGAAATTGAAATCGCGCTCCGAAAGAACTTATAAGCTATCAACCAATAAAGCAATTTATATTATTAAGAAATTAATAACACGAAAACGTTTGATTACAATATCGAACATACTGGTGACAATAAAACGTCAGGATAGCGTTTATAAGGAGATATCCACTGCAAGATGCTATCAGGGGAGTTCCAGTCTGGTTGTTGAGAAGCATTCTCTATCTCTTGAATATTTCAATGTGAAAAAAGAAAAAATGAAGAAAGGGTAAGTTAGTCAACTTCATAAACAGGATGTGAAATGAATAGCAAAAGAGATAGGACAGAGGTAGGAATAGTAGTAAAATGCTTAGAAACCTGTAAGATAAAAGTAGTCTCTCCTGCACGCCCCTGCCCACTTCTCCTAATAATCCCTTTTATCTCCCCAATACATTCATAATTAAAAACCCATATTTATATTATTATGTCTCCTCTACCATATGTACACCCGAGTCAAGGTCATTACCTGCCTGCAGAATTGCTCTTTGCAACACTTGCATATGTCCTAAGCAATTATCTCTATTCTGTTCCAGCCTCTTCTTCACCTTGCCCAGCCCCTTCCATGACGTCTTCTCTGCCTCAGTGAGCTCTTGCCCGTCCAGAAACAGCTTGTCCTCCAATGCTGTTAGTCTTTGCCCACGTTTCCCCCCTTGAAACCCCTCCAGCTCGATTTCTGCGCACTTCAGTTGATTCTCTGCCCTCTTCAACATTTCTCTTTTTTCCTCGATAGTTGTCATTTTTTTGTTTTTTTGTCCGTTTGTTCGTTTTGATGGGAAGATGTGATGAAAAGATGCGCTGCGCGGTATAATCTAATATACTAACGCTTAATCGATGACGTATTAGTATATATTAGGAACTTTCTAGACCTTTTTTACATAAATCAACCACAACGCATAAAAACAATACATTGTTTAAAGCGATAAAACAGATCCGTCAATTTCCACCAATAACACTCAACGAAAAATGCTTAACTTCCCGAGCGAATTCTTTTTTGGAGTATTTATTGGCTTCATTCTCAGCCTATTGCTAAATGGCATAATTATAATAGCCAACTCCACAATATTAATGTGGGAATATTAAGTCACTAAAAACGAACAAAACATTTAACAAAATAGTGTCTTGATAAAAATATGAAGTTGTCTTTAATATTAAAAAAGTGCTAGTGACAGTAAAATTATGCCTGTACATAACAAGTTTTTTTATAATAATCCGATTTACATAACGGCAGGTCGTGATAGATAGTCTATTTCCCGAACAGAATATTAAAATAGATAAAAACACGACTAAGAGATATGTGATGTGCAATTCAAACGCGAATATCTCGATCAATTTGGAATCAAAACTCATCATGTAAAAAATAGTATTGATTCATAGTAAACATCGAATCCATTTTTATCCCTTCTTAACATTTTTTCTTCTGTGAATCTTCAATACCAAAATGACTGCAACTGACATTGAAACACAACGCCAAATCATATTACACTATTGGAACCAAGGTGTGCGTTCTGCAAAAAAAATACATATTTTCACCAAAATTCCCATCCCAATTATCTATTACAAAGCTTCCTAGGACTATAAAGCACAAGAAGGATGCTGGTCAACCATCAATTATTACAGCATATGCATCCAGGACGATCGGCCAGTATGTACGATGTGATGTTAATCCATTGAACCGTAGAAAAACACTTGGCAAAAACTGCTGGAGGAGTGGAATATGATTCCAGAAACTATGTAATTAATTTTAGTTGGTTCAATGAGAAATATGTGTACGCCTATAATGGGGAACAAACCCATATTAATTGTAATAACTATCCTTATTGAAGCTATCAAACGAGATGCTAATGTTAATAACTGGTACAGTCGTTAGCTGGAAGTAACCTTTCAATAATTTCGTGTCACACTGTATATACAGTAAATAGAAAAATTACTATGCTCGTATGACTTGTTAAATGTTCAATAAATGTGTGCAGACGTTTTCTTGCTTATTATGGTAGATGGGTACATCACTTTCGCTGTCAGATATTGTTAGTTTGGCTTTTGTTAAGCACCTGTATTCGATACATGTGCTATTGTAATTGAAAACGGAGTAGTTGTCATAAATATCTGAACAGTTTTTCTTTGATCCAAGGCTATCTATAACTTTATCAAGACCACGCAAAACAAGGTTGTATCTTTAGCCAAGCCACATTGTTAGCTCAAATAGGAAACTTATGGTATGTAATGACGTTGCCATTAATTTGTTTCACGTGAGCCAGATTTAATATTACTAACAACTGGTTGACATTATCTGTCCTTATATACAAACGATAATACAAAAGAAGTACAGTCAACTGCCTATAATTCGACCGCTTGCGTTCCGAGGTTATCGATCGAATTAACGTACAGGTCGAATTATCACAATAGAAAAAATGAAAAAATGTTCTGTAACCAGCGGTCGAATTATCAGCAGTTGACTGTAATATATATTAAATGTAGGGTTTGTACGATAAGTACAGTACTTTGTTTATATGTAGATTCAACATGAACAGTTAACCAAAATTTCTTTGATCTTTTAAACTGCAAGAATACTCAAGACCGCAGAATAGATTAAGGCAAAAACTTGAACCAACAAAATTGTAATAGCGGATGTCGTTCAGAAATATGAGCTACTTATTAGAAGCAAACTTAAACTTATTTTTATATTTGAAACTGTTTATAAGCGCTTATCCTGTAAAGAGGGAGTCGGTTGACAAGTTCGATCTCTAAATTTGGTTATCGTAAATTCATCATGTACGTTGTAACAAGAGTTGAAAGAACGAGTGTCGGTATAAATGTTATAACCTCATTGTTATAGCCTTAATCATCTAGTACCATAAACTTGATTGTTCTCGTTTACAGTGCAATTTTCTAAAACGGTATCTGATGAATATTATGACGTCTACATTATTTATGTGTAATACTGGTAGACCATTAAACATACCCGCTTTATTTTATGATGTATATATTACATGTTTGTTTTTTCAAGTTGTAGCGTGCAGTGTCTAGTCAAAAAAACAAACTAGACTCGAATGGGTTCGCGTGATCTTAATCCTGATTGTACAAGATTTCTAAAAATAACCTTTCCGTCAAATTTATTTACCCGACGCCAAAACCCCGAGATTTGGATCTGCAGATCGCCAAAGTTGGTCCCAACATATGTAATATTAATATTGCTTCACAACAATCCATCAAGCCGAAATAGCGGATCAAGTAGTAGATGACTTTTAGATTGCCAAAACAGACGTTAAAAGAATATGAAAAGTAATAAGAGTGGCATGTACGTTGAAATATTGACTGACCCAGTGAAGAAATTTGATCCAGTTTTCCTGAATAGGTTATTACACATGAAATTCACATGCAGACTACAAATTCGATATAGCAATTATTCGTTCGAATATGCTTTAATTATAAAACTGTCGATTTCAAGCTTTCGTCCGGTTTATTGCCTAAAGTGGCAATATAAATTTCTAACCATTTCGAGATTAGTCGATCATATTTTTATAGGGATTTACTTGTTAGGGTTAGATGCTGTTAAAATGATCATGCCACGCAATTAATATTTTTATTTTATCCAATCAGATTTTCCTATTTATTGTGAACGTGTAACCAACATTAATATACGCCCACGTTGAAGTAGTTAATTATTACCTGTTTTCCGGTTACGTTATAGTAAGAAGATTCGGACAATAAAAAAGAAAAAGCTTTGCATATCGATATATTTACTAGTCAATTTTGGACACGCCCCCCCAAACACTTAATTTTGGTATGCCGAGGATACTTTCGTGTTCCCCAAGATGTTTGCAATAATTTCCCCATATCCGCTAAAAGCGGTTTTGAAAACACGTGTCGTAATATACATGTGAAATATAATCGGAGTTAGCCAGACGGAATTCATATTAATATTAATCTTAAATATTAACAAATAATTAACTTTTTTTTTTGGTTGCCAATACAGTAATGACTTTCATCAATGAAGCTACTGCATTTACTGTATTAGAAAGGTGGTGTGCGTAAAACGATCATATTTATTATTTCGAATCAGTTTACTTCTACTAAAATGAAACTATGCTTATTTGTTCACAACTCTGTTTGTCCTACTACGGACAAAACGTCGGGTTGTAAATCAGGTGAGATTTCGGGTGCATCCGTTTCATTTGGCTTTCTGGAATTAATGTTAATTTTGTATTAGTATTAGCTGATGGAGAACGTTTCATAAATTAATGTACGAGTATCCTTAACATATGGATAAATTGTACATACAACAACATTCTGTCTCTTGCATGCACTATACCAAATAAGTGTTGCTGTATATTCCTTACGCGCGAAAATAAATTTCCGGTTAGATCATACGGACTCGTGTTCACATCAGACGGAACCATGCTATCATCATTATCATCATTATTCGCGGGAAGTAATTGTGCATTCTGTAGCGCGGTTCGGGACTTGTTGGCGGTTCCGTCATGATCTTCCTGACAGAGTAGGCTGTCACTAGACTCTTGTATTATTCTAGCTTTGGGCAACTCTTCAGCAGAAAATGAATTCCCTTGGGTATTCTTCATGTCGTCCATTATCTGTCTTACAATTCTTTTCATGTTTTCCAGCTCATGTTCAAGTTCTGCGTCCTTGGCCTCCAATTTGCAAAGTCGATCATTGATCGATTCCTGTGTGTTGGATCAAATGAGAAAGGTTAAGCAAGCATCTTTACGTGAAGTTTGCGTCCTTTTATTAGTAGCATCTTTACGTGACAATGAAATAAAACTCGTACCTTATCATGAGAAGTACCTATTTTGCTACGTTGTCCTATGATATTACAAGTTCTGTCTGTTGAATATATGCTTTCTGTGAGGCTTTCGTCGCTGATCGTTGAATGTGTTGAAAAAACATTATTGCTAGTTGGCTCTTGTGTAAAGTAACTTGTACTGTCGTCATCTCTGCTATCGTCCAAATCGAATATATTGGCCGTCTTACTAAAATCATTACTGGATGTCTCGACAGAATCCTTGTCAAGTGAGAAAGGTGCGCTAATTGCAATCGAACTTGATTCTACCATGTGAAACTGGCTATCGCGATCACTGATCGAGTGTGGATATTGTTTCGCATTCAATCTCTGTTCCGGCTTCTTCACAGGAGAGAGAACTTTGTTTTGCTCGTCTTGATCTAATTCGTAGTTATAAACGCTCGGTACGTCGCCAGTACTCGGTGATATGGATGGCGAGTTTAAGAAATGATGCCAGCCTAACGATTGCGTTGAGGGATGATGATCACTGCGAAGCATAGGAGAAAGAGAGTTTACAGCTGTGATTTCCTCGTCAGGAAGATCGATAGTTTCGCGTCTATAACAAAACGGGTTGATTAGGATAACCTTGTGCATGACATCAAGCGTAAAAATGCACATTCATACAAATTGTCAATTTGCGAGTTACTTGGCCGTTCGCGCTCAGATACACTTGCGTCTAATTCATGTCTGTACATGGTTGGTATTAAGGAATGTTGTTCATCGCTACTCTCTGTCTGTTTATACTGATCCGTCACGCAATGGTCAGCTATTATTTCATGCGTTTCTTTCTCTATGCAAGCATAAGCAGGACAACTGGTGAAAAAGCAATGCCATATTCCTTGTTGTTTATATAGTAATTGCTTACCAGGCAGATGCATATTTGATGAGTGATCGCACGACGGACAAGGCTAAGCAGTGGCGATATGAGTATAGCCAAGCTTGATATCTAAACAGATTAAAATGTTGACTTACATCAGATGAGGCTGTCCCGGCCCAATTTTTGTCACGAAGTAAATTATGCTTTCGTGTTGCGATAGCTTGGTATACACAGTGTATTATCAGTAACGCCAAGATGCCGTGATTGTTAATGAACCTCATATTAGTCCCTTACCGGCAGCAGAACAATTGCGTTGTGCGTATGATGCTATATCAATTGAACCGATGTCTACAGCATCAAACAAAAAGCCGGTTCCGTGTTCACGTTCGGTTTTACTATTTTCTATACGCGTCAATCGGTTGATCTTTGGTTGATTGAGGCTATTAACTTTTGAGAGCATTTTTTCTTTTGGTAGACTGTTATTGAGTCTTCGAAGGCGCTGCCGTTTGAAGAACTCTTTTTGCGTCTGTCTTTCAAGTTTAACTTTAAGGCAGCTGTAAAGAATGATACATAAAGTCACGAAAAAGTCGCCATTATTGCGCATTAAACTCTTCGTTACAAGGCACCTTCTCCCACTTGTCCAATTCATCGTCAAGTAACATCGACAGGCTAGTAACAATATTACAAATTATATGTGCAGTGTTTTTTTTTTATGTCTTATTTTACATTATTAAATCACAGACTGATATGTAAACAATACATATTATTTGTACTACGAGTAGCGGGGAAGGGATTTACAAGTCTATTAATTTTGTCACGAGAGTCCACCGAAAAGAAAAAAATCATTACACAACCAAAGTCCAATCATTGAAACTTTACATGAAATTTGTAACTAAAAGCAATTGTCTTTTCATATTATTTGGCACTTTTTCTCCTCGACTTTTTTTCCGTTTGAACTCCAGCACCGTAATATGCAGATAAAGGTCTACTTCCGGACGAATGGGCATTACTTAATATGGATTTTCTTGCTGCTGTCCGACTACCACTACTGCTAGAATGATTAGTTGAACTAGAAGACGATAAAGAACTGGTTGAATGTTGGAATGATGGTAAACACGTGAGCGAACTTCTCTCCGGTTGTGGAAAAGCGCGCTTTTGAATTACAGATTCCGAACAACTTTTCCCATGTAAATAATATGGGTTCTTTTCCTCGATAATGCTATGCATCTGTTTGGACATGTGACGAGACGGTAAGGACTGCGATTGTAAATTGGAATTGGGATGGTATTTACTTGGCGGCGGCGGTACAAACGTGCTTGCCGTAATGTTGGGACGAGTATCACCCATCTCATCTAGTAACTTGGCTCCAAGACGTTTCGAGTAACTACTGCTGACACTCGTAGAGGGTGATGCATCAACGTAACTTTTGCGCTTAGAAGCTACATCGGTAGCAGTCTGCATCGTTCCGTCCACCGTATTCGACCTCTTCCTATTTTCCATATCCGCAGTCCCATCCAAGGTTCTTCTTATTGTGCCATATTCCACGGCGCTATGCCGTTTAGAACTGATATTTGACTTTATCCCATCAGCAAATTTTGAAACTGGTTTATTCTGTATACCTACCATAGAAGTTAATTGTTCCTTATATTCTTGCTGCCTCTGTATTAGTGTTAGTCCCATTGGCCGAGACGTATTCATGTCTGACAATTTTTTACTAGCTAGGGCTCGTCTCGATGCTTTTTCTTGATTCTTTTTTAATTGTACAACGACCATTTCTTGCTGATACTTGTGATATTCGTGTAATGACATACTCTTTGTGTCCCTTTGTTCATAACGTGCAGGTGGTAGGTTAACGCCCGACAATAGCATACTGTCACTCGATCTTCGCGATGAAGAAGATATTTTAGTGCGCGCAGTTAACGAGTCTGACAACGGTCGGCGTTGTGCGGGAGGTCGTCGAGGAGTTGAAAGGCCTATAGGAACATTGTCATCGTCATCGTCGTCATCCTCCTCATCACCACCATCATCATCATCATATGAATTCTCGCTCCTAGATGGTACATAAAGCGAATAAGCCTTTCTGCCATATTTGCGCGAGCCAACACCGCGATAAGCTCCGTCTGCACTAGCCGATAAAGTTGGCGAGCCAAATGATAACCTGCCCTCGTGTTCAAAAGCACCAAGGTTTTCGTTAGTATTGTTTCGACTATAAAGTTCTAAAGATGGTGTTGAGACTACAGACGATTGACTCGAAGACGATTGGCTCAAAGACGATTGGCTCAAAGAGGATTGACTCAAAGACGATCGGCTCGATTGACTGCTGGTCAAATCAGACCGAGACGAATAGTCAGCTGTTGCTTGAGGCATAGTGGTTCGGTATATTGTTTGTCTGAGTTCTGTGGAATAAACTTCGAGAGATGCAGATGATCGCTTCTCTCGAGGAATGACGGATTCGTCGCTGTGAGAATGTCCATACTGCGAACTGTAAAACTCTGAGCTTGGGGGACGGGAGCGCTCTTGTGGTGTAACAAGAGGCGTATGATCCTTTTCATCAGAGACTTCGATATATTCGCGCTCAATTTTCTGGGTTAAATTTAAGCTCGCCGGCTTTTCGCGGCTTTGGCGGTGTTTCCTCGAACTTTTATCCGAAGAGCGCCTCTGGATAGACTGTCTCTTTAATGGTTCATCGACTGAGCGAGAAGACTGTATTGAAGTGTTCTTTATGGATTCTTGCTGATCCCAAGGAAGGGAAGGTAATTCTTCAGACGAAAAATTAAGAAGGGTACTCTGCCGTGAACGAGACTGGAGTTGTCGTTGCTGCCGCTGTTGTTGCTGTTGTTGCTGCTGTTGTTGCTGCTGTTGTTGCTGCTGTTGTTTCTGTTGTTGTGTGTGTTGTTGTGTGTGTTTGTGTTGTTCTTCTTCTTGCCGCCGCCGCTGCTGCTGCTGCTGCTGCTGCTGCTGCTGTGGCTGTGGCTGTTTCTTTGGTTGTGATATCTGGTTTTTTAACCGCGACTGCTTTTGTTTCTTTGACTGCTGTTGTTGTTTCTGTTGCCTTTCTGATTTCAACAGTTGTTCTTCTTCGCGTTTTCGTGCTTCGGGTGTTCCTGAAGGTTTCTTGGAAGAACCGAATAAGCGATTGCTTTTGAAGGGAGATAATAGTTCAGAGACCAAATTCCCTGCGTATTGCATTTTCGGTTATGTCACCAGATAATAATATTATCTTATTTGGTTTTGACTGTCGAAGGTAAATAAATACATGCGGTCAAGGAAAGAGGCGGACGCACAACTCTTATATCAAGGATGATGTGCCATGCTAGACGGGAAAAAAGGAAACCCGAGTTGGCGGTCCGTGTTATAGTGATTGTGTATAAATACATCCATACCTTTTGCGATATTTTTATCATTGGAGTGTGAAAAAAGGTTTTACGTGTGACTGCCGGGAATTTTTGTTGACAAACGTTACCTTTTAGGGTGAAGTTGGTAGTTTGAAATAGCACATAGCCAATTAATAGATAAGGCGCTGTAATGTGCAGTCTATTATTATTAACAATTGACTCGGGATGACCGAGTTTCGCCCATTGAACACATTTTCATCGCGAACCAATAGTCACAGGCATGCTTCGTGATTGTTATGATTTTGCTATTGCCGATTAATTATCTTGATATGAGGGATAATAATTTACGAAATGTCTTGTATGTTTCTCCGCGTTATATATCTTTTAAGTATTTGAGCGCAAAATCGTCTTTGGCTTTCTTGCACTTGGTCAACGAAGATCAAATACCAAAAATAGTTTAAGACAAAGGTATGTAGTACAGGTTTTCAACCTTTGTACTATCCCCTCCCCATGGATTTTCCCGATCAAACAGATATGATGCTGTGCACCAATGCTAATACATATAGACAGAGCGCGCGAATACCTAAAGTACAACCTAATCGGATATGCAATATCTTATCTTAACAACAATCGTAATTGTAGTTTCGGAGATGGTGAGATGGTCTTCTCACGGTATTTGACATTTTCAGTAATGACTTTACGCCGCCGTGATAAGAAAGCTGTCACTGTCCGCAGTCAAGTATTGTTTTGGAGATCGATAGTCCTTAAATGTCCTGTTATAGTTGATATGGACATCACAATAGGGTTTGACCAAAATAAATAGATAATCATCTGATTATCAGAAATTAAAATCACGGAACATTAAGCGGGTCGCCTGGTGTGATATGTTTGTTTTTCTTTTTCGTTCAAGTGGGGGATGTCAAGACGGGTCGAATAATGCCCTAGCGAATTTCTTTTCTTTTTTTTTTGCGTCTTTTTCACAGCCTCACCTGTTCAATGTCGAAATCTGTCGTGTGACGTTGGAAAACTTTCGCATTCGTTACACTATGCTTATTATGGATTTGTACCAAAAGTCCCAAGGCCTTTAATCCAAAGGAAGATTCCACAATAAAGCAAGATTCGGCGGCAAAATACCTATGTACAGTTGACTAGTCACCAATAGTTAGGACAATATCGCCCGATAATGTGGTTTAATTTGTGCTCATTGGAAGAACATACGAGGAATTAGTTCTTTATGAATGTATAATTATATTTATTATTCGCGTGATACTCGATGTTGTATGCAGAGTTTTGCATATCACCAGACGAAATGGTCTCTCTTAGGTTTTAATTACGTATTACTGTGATATTTGTTATTTCATATGCCCCCATATTTCTAATTCTACGTTACGGAACATATTTGTTTACATGAATAATGTTGTACGACTCGTACAACTTGGCGTTAATTAACTTGGTTAACTTATCACCTCAGCGAGCTCTATTACATAGCATGTTCTCCAGTACAATAATTACCTGTTATGTGTACTGCACGTGACTAATCTCACAAACTGCCAAACATGTTGCGATTTTCAGTGAATCACAACATGTCTATATTTAACGAAGTTCAATTCTGAACGTTAGTTGTACTAAACTGATGTCATCGTGCTTGGCATCTGAGCCACCGAGGGGTGTTGTTTATTGCTGCTAGGCGTAAAAATAGGCGATTTTGACAATAAATAATGGCAATCGCAATAACTATATTAATAACTAACTGAACATAGCCACGAATGGCATAAAATTAAAACTGACACTAATGCCAAAGAGCAGCAGATATGTATTTCTGTCTCGATTGGCATTGCAATTATGGGCATCATAACGCAAATAGGATATATTGATTGGAAAAGCTAATGTTCAAAACGGAACATCTTACAAAGATATGCCGTTTGCTCTCTTCCTTATTAAGAAAGGATAATACGGATCTAATTTGCTTTTATTATAGAACAAGAAGCCTGTGGGGTAATACTGTTTCTGTGTTCTAATTATTTACAACATTCATACGCAATTTGCACCAAACGTCTGGTATCGCAATCAATATCACAACGCGACCGCGCTATTAGCTGAGTTACGGTCGCTTGAACAGCAATCAGCTTGCAAGAAAAAAAGGCCGAGAGCCAAAATTAGACTTAACGAATAACGATTTCGTCTTAATAATACCCGATTGTTGCAAATGATTGACACAATTCCTTATCTGCTACTAAGCTTCAGGGGTTTACATTGTCGAATGCTACACAGTTTCCTTAGATCAACTAGGGAATAAACCCTACCAATTCTCTTGCCTGATTTAGAAACCGGATACAGATGTCGATTTGAATCGCGATATTTCTCACACGCAAACAATTTGATCGTATTAAAGTTTCCGTCTCAAGTTATTGAGATTCTTGCAATTAACTATCAATGAAAAAAACGTAACTAATTCACAGTACTAAAGGCCATGCATACATTTCGTTCCTGAATATATCACACATACAAGTTGATTACTATTATGCTTCGTATACAATGTAGATTTTTACTCAAAGTGGGGGGGAGGTTTCACAACACTTGTTCGGATAATATCAGTAATAGCCGTCCCAACCTTCCTGCATATTGAACTCAGATAATCTGTGGCACGCTAATTCGAACGCAAACGTAAATAAATCAGAAACAGGTGACATACACTTTTTAATTTCAATGAATGTAGCACGTTTTCTTAGTTGTTTTTAACAAAACTTAATTATAATTATTGTAAAAATAGAACCATTCTTTATTAATATTAGTAATACAGTTGTATTAGTTGCTATTTTTATATCCAAACTATTAGAGAACAAAAGAAAATTAAAGTTTAATTTCTAAATTTGACTATATAGTAAGATTGTACGCACAACAGAAACATAATTTGCGTTGAAATAATCCGAAGTCTTGACAAATTTTAATGTATTTAGACATCACTGTTTTATGAGAATTCTGTTGCATTTAAAATTGAGCGGTGTTTGTTAATTTTATGTTAAAGTTGTCTGCACACTGTGATCAAGAACGCTAATATCTATTACTATGGCAAACCCTCGAGATTGTCTTAAAGACAAGAAAGTACGATGAACTCAATCTGCAACAAACACAATATATTTGTTATTTTTATTGTTGCATTTTAACAGACTTTTACTTTGCTACTCTTGCTGGCCGATAATCAAGAGTAAGAAGTAAACAAAATTGTCAGAGATTATTTTAAACTCAAATGTTGCCTGATAAATAGACTAGACATGATATTGTATGCTTCGGCCATCACAATAAAACCGGTTAGAATAAACAAATGTACATATAAGGGAAAATGATTGTTCTGGCCAAACCGGATACAACAAGCCATTATCTATTCAAAAATCAAACAAACAAATCGCTGCCCATTCTAATTTTACTGAAATAAAACAATGGGGGAAGATAACATGTTGTATATACAGTAGTTCTCAAGAGGTGCTCCAATAATAAGTTAGTTAGATTCGGTGGTCGCTGGGCTTTTGGAGCGCAGAAGAAGTAATTTGTATAAAATTCAGTCGTTTATCTCCAGAATACAAGAAATAGACTATATGTACGAGACAATATCCAAAGATACAATTATTCCGGATGCGGTCTAATGCAATGCTAAAAATAAAACGATAAACAAAAGCATTAGAATCTTGGATTTTCTTCAAAGAATAATTTCCGATTACGTAACCCCAATTGTGTTATAGGATAACAGATAACGGGTTGAAAATGACACAATCCAAGTTATTACCAATCATATTTGACAAACGAAATTGTCACAAATCTGTCACACGCGTGGATCTGTAAAACTGTGACGACATTTGTGTTCATGGCAACTACCGAGAATTGGTTGTCAATTGACTCGTTATTTGTACGCAGTTCGCGCAAAAAAACTAATTCTTATTAAGATAATCGAAAGCTTGAATCTCAAATTAGGTAATGGTTCGTTTGGGGTCGATTCCTTGACGCGAGAATTCTCGTGGAGATATATGATTGATCGTAAATTGGACAAAATTTGTCCTGTACGTGTAGCCACCAAGCTAATTAATTATTGTTATTTAGGGAACAGAAATCCACTCCCTCATGTCTCCTGTATAGTAGATAATGTGCATTAGATTGCCAAGCTGCACATTATTGTGTCAACGCTATGTAGAATATATACTGTACATGAAACCCGTTTGCTGATCAATTAGTAAACGTAGCATGTGTAACAAACGTTAAACTCCTTTGAAGCAAATTTAATTTGTTTTTTGAATTAATGTAATTTAAATACATTACCGTTTGAAGCCATGTTCGATGAAAGTGATGATATATAGACTAGATGTCTACTATACATTTTCGGATTGCAGGTATTTTGTCAAATATGACTTGTAACTATAAATTTCGAATGCCGTTATATGTCTCTTTGTTTATCAGGAACTAAATGTTCGTTCCAAACGATCAGATTGGCATAGATAAGAACCATGTAAAACATTATAAAGCATTAATTAACTTTAATAATGCAATTTTACTGCCATGTAACTAATTGCTATTGTTATGGAAATAAGCAGATGAATGTAGTGACGAAAAGTGTAACCCATCTGAAACTCAATGTATTACAACTTAATTCAGAGACTTTATATAAACATTTGGGCTTAACATTACTGTATCAGGTAACTGACAGCTGGATACGTCTCAGAATTATTGCTAAAATTCAAAACATGATTAGTAATTTGGGGCAGACTGCAACAAAACCAGACAAAGTGAACATTCTTAAATAAGAGGCTGGTGTGGCTGAAAGTTAACTAATTTGACTGATGACGTTTTGAAAAGTAATAATTGTGCTCATTCATAACTTATGGACTTGTTAATTTTAATGCTCACTTTATCATACCAGAATGTGGTAAATATAAACCATAACAGGAGCAATATAGGATTATCTCTATATAAAAATAATATATATAAAACTCATTTACATTAAATCCACCATGGAACCCAAGAATTACAGCACTATCAGAAGCATTCTAAAAAAAGAACAATTACTTCCTTAATTTCAATCA